TTTATGCTTTTATTTATTCATTGTAGGTGAATGGTCCTTTATTTTCTGACTTGATAACAAATGAATAAAATACTTTTGACTCAAGAAAATGCACAGTTTCTTTTAGATATTTGTGGCTTGATGATCATGGATATCCCTTAAAACAATACATTTCAAGAAATATGTAATGTTAATTGTCCTTCAATGCAATTAAATTAAATGTATTATAGTTTAAATTTACATTGAATGCAATTAGCTAAACTTTTTAGAGTGCTTAAGTAGGACATTACTTGTTTGTCTTTGTTATATGGTTTAAGTGACAAACATTTATGGTAAATTAAAATATACTGTAATGTAATTTCTGTTGTAATTACACATTTCAAATATTTACTTTAAATGTTCTATTGAATAACACACTACAATTACAAGTACTTTAAACGTGCTTTAGTATGCTAGTCAACACATCAAAATAAATGTACTTCTTTAAAGCACATAAAAAGATTATTTAAACAATGATTTAAAATGTACCTTAAAGTAAAACTTTTAATTTGACGTTATTAGTATATTTTTTTTAAGTTTACTTAAATTAAGTGTTAAGAAACAGTCCTATTATATGCAAGTACATTTTTTGACAACAGACTTTTAAGATTTGAAGCACACTACAAATGCACATGTAATACAATTAACTGCACTTTGATTTCACAAGGGTTGTAAACATGTCTGAGAGGTAGTGTGATTTTTTGTGTTTTAACTCGACAGAAAGCATGAGACTAAAGAATGCATCTTTATAAGAAAGCTAAAATATGTACAAAGTGAACAGCAAAATGTTTCATATGTCCAGTATACTTATGTTCTGCCAGCAGGGGGCAGCACCACATCATGAGGAAGAGTTGGAACGACTCACCAAGAAGTTGGTGTATGACATGAATAATCCCCCTACTGAGGAATATTTTGGTATACTCCAATATTTTATATCCTCATTGTTGTGCTTTTGCTTTTACTTATTTTATGTTTCAATCAGGGTGTAATGGATTTCTCTCTCTGTCTTTCTCTCAGGTCGATGTGCTCGGTGTGGGGATAATGTTCTGGGAGATGGCAGTGGTTGTATTGCCATGGAGCAGGTGTTTCACGTGGAGTGTTTCACCTGCATCACCTGTCATGCCCGTCTGAGAGGCCAGCCCTTCTATGCACTAGACAGGAAGAGCTACTGCGAGAGCTGCTACATAGTGAGTTCTATTTATCGGTCGACTTCTCTTGGCTTCTGCCCTTTATTGTATGTTTTTTCTTTCGACATTCAAACTTTTCTCACTTGTTCTTCCTCTCTGCTCACAGAGCACACTTGAGCGCTGTTTGAAATGCTCGGAGCCCATCCTAGACCGGATCCTGAGGGCGATGGGAAAGGCTTACCACCCTCGCTGTTTCACATGTGTGGTTTGCGGCGGTTGCCTGGATGGAGTGCCTTTTACTGTAGATGCCACATCTCAGATCCACTGTATTGAGGACTTTCACAGGTACTCAGCAACGTTTTTTCTGTTTCTATGTGGTGTGAAGTCTCTGTTTCTACAATCAAATGCAGATAGTGGAATGCCTTGTTGTTTTTCCCCACTAAATCTTTGCTTTTTTTGAATGGATATGATGTTCTACCAAATGTCTGACCAGTTACTACATGGATTTTATTATTAAAACCTTGTTTGCTGCTTCTTTGAACAGGAAGTTTGCTCCCCGCTGCTCAGTATGTGGCCAGCCCATAATGCCAGAGCCTGGGCAGGAGGAGACAGTCAGGATCGTTGCACTGGATCGCAGTTTCCATGTTAACTGCTACGTATGTGAGGTAATAACTTTGAGGCTGCCATGAATTTTGTGTTTGTTGTTAAATTATTGATGTAATGCAGAAACTCTGTATTTGAAAACTATTGTTTTCAGTTCGGTTGCATTTAGGGGCGAGTGAAATTTGACTGAAAAATATTTAAATTTTTGTTGTGATTTAGCTGATAATTATAATTAGATCTATATTATATTATTTAATCAATTAAGGCAAGACACTACAGGTGAATAGGGTAATTATAGATGGGTATCACCATACTTTCCCCAGAATTGTTTTGTATTACAAATTATCTAAAAATGTAATGTGTAAATATGCAGATGAGGCATTTTCTAATTAAATATGCACAAATTTGCATAAATGTCCAGAATTGAAATCTGAACATTGGATGGAGCATTGGATAGGATTTTTTTTTTTTTTTTTACAAAGGGGATATTGGATATTTCATTTTATCACTCCATAAATCAGAAAAAACGGCCAGAAAAAAAATAATTTTTACAGTGTTTTTAGGCATAAAATGATAAATATATATCATGCATATGATATTTGAACAAATCCCTGTGTAAACGCCTTCAGAATATAGATAGCCATAAAAGTGGAAAGGTTGATGTATGTAAGTGCTACTGAAATGAAGATAAAATATATTTTAGAAAACTGCCTTTTTTTAAATCTACAGCAAAGCTACGCAAAATTTGGGATTTTGGATGTTTTTTTCCACTATTGTAAAATAAGACAAGTTATGGAAGCAAAATAGCCAGTGCCTGAAAATAAAAAGTTGTTTTGCCTGTAGTGTAGTGCCTTAATTCAATTAGAATAATTACACACTTACAGGGCTGTTAACAAATCAAATGAAATCAGCATCAACAAAAGCCATCTTTGCACTGCAGAGGTGACACAGAAGCTGTCTGTTTACACATTTAGATGTATTTACACATTGTTAAATGCAGCTCAGAGGTGGCATGAATCCATTTACACTGCAGTTGCAATTGCATGAATAATACTATGAGATTAATTACTTAAAATAACATTTTGAATCTGAAATGATGTAAATGCATAATAATAAGTGAAATGGACTGAATGAGTGCTAAAGAAAACTGTATTTGGGTTGCAGGACTGTGGTCTTCTCCTCTCTTCAGAGGGCGAGGGAAGAGGCTGCTATCCCCTAGATGGACACATTCTGTGCAAGAGCTGCAGCGCCCGTCGCATCCAAGATCTTTCTGCCAAAATCTCCACTGACTGCTAATGCCCCTGTCCCGTCACTCTGAGCCCTTTCTCTCCTTCATGGTTATTCTTCAGAATGTACCACTATCTAAACATCCACCACCTGACATTTCTTCCATCTTTGACTTTACGTGTTGATCGCACAAATAATATGAAGACGTCCCTCTCAGGGTAGCATAGAGCTGAGGAGAAAAATTGCTCTTGTGCTTAGAGTAGTTTCACTGGAATGCTGTTTCCTCAAGAATTTAGAAAAACAGGTGGTGAATGAAATATGATGGTGTTTGTGTATAATCCTCAGCGTATGTGTGTTCATACAAAATGTGAGTCTTGTGAACAGGGTGCATTTCTTCCTTTGGAGAAGCAGTCACTTTTAGAACACTAAAATTACCTTCAATGGAAATATAGTAAAAATGACACGGTTTCCTCAAATAATGCCCCAATTCTGCTGGCAGTTGGGGTCACTTCATATTGTCCCCATTCAGATCATCTCTGTTCTTTTATCCTCTCAAAAAACAAAAACTCATTATTTTAATACTTGAAATCATGATTGTTGAAGGATATTATTACTGTGCTTCGTTTACTGGCTTGATATTGGTTCATTGTCATTGCATTCATCATGATGCTAATGAGAATTCTGGGAAAAAGGGGGGAAAAGTTTTGTTCTGATTTCCCTGCAGTCTCTAGCTCTAGGTTTATACTGATTTCTGAAACTGTTACAAGAGACGTGTTGTCCGATAGGAATGAAGGGTCAGTGTATTTAATGACTGCTTCAGTGAAGGAAATCTTTTGACAGGTGTGTGTTGGATCAAAGTGGTTGATTTCATTTTAAAGCTTTGTAGCTGCTGTCAGGTAATTGAGTTTTCTGCTACATGGTAGCAGGGTGGATCATTTTCAAGGAGTTTGAATAGTGAGAGAAATAGAGCGCGATTATGGAAAGGAATCTTAGATGAATGACAAATGTGGCTTCTTATTAGGAACAGAACGTTTCTCATAACATCAAGGAACTTAGTCGCAATTTTGTTACTAAAATATACATTGTTTAATGCCTAACAGAAGGTAAATGGTCAAGTATGAAGGTTACAAGGAGGAAAAGTACGTACTGGAGAAAGGACTTTCAGATTGTTACACAGAGATTGTTACTGATTTGGCTTTATTTTTTTTACATCTTTTCTGTATTTGCTTTATATTATGTCAAAATGCATTTTTAATTGTCTTGTTATTTGAATAATGTGTAGCAGCAAGCATCCATTGCTTAATGCTATTATATAAAAAAGGTTTCAAATAAGGTGTTGATTGTTTGAAGCAAAATAATTAAGTGCTGGTGTTTGTGTTGATGAATGATTGCAATTACCAAGAAACTAAAAGCATAAAGTGGTTCAGATGGTTGCATGCTTTATTTATTGATTTGTCTGGAATAGTTTGTAAGATTATTCCAACATAGTGTCCATCTGGTCAATTTGCTGCCAAAAAACTTTTCTAAACCTGTCATTGCAGATGATTGCTAATTGATAAAGTGTCCTCGTACTGCACAGTCTGTTTTAATGGCTGATTTACTTTGTAAGCTGCCAATTTATTTCAGGGCATGTTTGGATGAGTTTGCTTTTTTCTCTGTTGTTGATTGTAGGGAGAGAAAAGGATCAGTTTTATAAATTCATCTGTTTTTACTGCAAATGTGTATTGACTTCTAGTTTGTACTGGCCATTGTTCTGATTTATGATTTGATGAACTGTGGAAAAAAATGACAGTTGCTGTTTGCATTACATCGCACACTTTCCCTGATCACGCTGTATTACAGAGGCAATCCAATGACATTGTTGCATGGTCAACACAAAGACCTCTATATCAAGATTTTTTCAATTTAATTTAAACTTTAATATATTCACTGGCAGTCAATTCTAGTAGTACCCATAAAACAAATATTTTATAGCATACAGTACATAAACTCTCTTTGTACAGGAATAGTATTACTGGTGTCATGTGCTGGTGAATTTAAGAACATTCTTGGTTAATACAGATGGTGTAAGATAGAGGAGAAACTGAAGAACATATAGATTGGTTATTACAATCCATGATGTATGCACAGGACCAGAAATCCTCTTAATATTGATGCCTACACAAGTTTAAATGGTATTGAAATTTCAAACCAAGCAGGTTGATTAACAAGAGGTGAAGGTCTTCCAGTAGAAATTCCGGCAGCCTGCTTTGCGTTCTCGTTGGGAGAGGGGAATCTGGCGGACCACTTCATTACGAGCCTCAAGATCATCAGTGCTTTCAAGAGCATCTTTCTCCTCAGGTGCCACCGACTCCGAAAGCTGCTTCAGAAGAAGCAAACGAGAGAGATCCTGAAGCTGAAGAGAGAAAAGAATGAAGATTCAGAAACTTCATTGTCAAAAAGAAAAACAAGACTCGAATTTGAACTTGCTTTGGTACTTATATTTAAATATATATATATATATATATATAAATAACTTGTAAATAAAGATTATTGGAGTATGTTTTACAATAAAATACCATTCATTCTTTCTACTTTGAAATTTCACATTTTATTCAACGTGTTACTTGCTGTTTCTTTGTAATTATTTGTGGTATTTATTAGCAATTTCTGAGAGATTTGTTTTGAAGCCATTTTTCAGTGTACAATTTTATAACAATTTTCACTAAGAAATTGCTAGTAAATTTGACAACGTTTTACAGTAAGGTTTTATTTATTAACATTATATAACTACATACAAAATATTTCTAAAATATGTATTATTCTTTGTTAATGTTTAGTAATACATTACTAAAATCAAAAGTTGTATCTGAAGTATTTAATAGAACTGAGCCAACAGCTGAAATTTATGGTAACATTTCGCAAGCCAAGTACCATGAACGTTAGCAATAAAAAATAGCAATACATTTGTTGCAGCCTTTATTAATCTATGTAAAAAATTAAATTCGTCAACTATACTAAATGTTGACATTAACATGAACTAAGATTGATAAATGGTTTAGAAGTATTTTTCAATGTTTACTAATGTAGTTAACTAATGTTAATAAATTAAACCTTATTGTAAAGTGTTACCAAATTGACCAGCAATTTCTAAGAGAATTTTGTTTTTCAAAATCCTAAAAAATGGCTTTGAAAATATTTTTTATCACAAATTCATAGTAAAATTTACAATTAGTTATAAAGAAATGGCAAGTAACACATTAAATTAAACATGAAATTAAACTGAAATAGTAATTTCTTGTAAAACATACTCCAATAATCTTTTTTATTTACAATTTTGAAAAAAACTAAAAACTTTTTTCATTGTACACTGAAAAACGGTGTAGAAACAATTAACAGATTGAATCAAACATTGAATTTTGAAAAAAAAAAAAAATTGTAGAAAAGTTTCTGTCTTGCCTCATTCTCCTTGGGATCCACTTCTGATCGTAGCAGCTGGAGCAGCATGTCTCCTCTTGGTGCCGAACTGACGCTGCAAAGCAGCAAAGACACGGACAGAGTCACCAAAACCACCTGTAATGGGGAGAACATCTTTTCAGGACTGTAAAACACTGCCTTTTAGAGGGGTTTAATGATGACAGGCTTTTATAGGCACCAAAGGTGGGATCCTGGGGTCGATTAGAGAGCATGTATTGGTCGAAATATAACCACAAAGGAAGATGGTGGTGGTGGTGGTGTGTGGGTGTAGAGGAGCAGGGGTAAAGGGTGAAGAGACATTTGTGCGTGAGGAGGGACTCCCAGACCCAGTAGGAAAGATGTTTGATAAGGTCACACCAAGGTGTTACTTTTGCATCAGAAGCCTTATCAATTCTGTCATTTGCAATGATATATCATGTAAAAATGTACGGACAGTAACTAAGTACATTTACTTGAGTATTGTACTTAAGTACACTTTTTGAGTATCTGTACTTTACTTGAGTATTATTTTTTCTGGGAACTTATGACTTTAACTTCACTACATTTGAAAGACAAATATTGTGCTTTTCACTCCACTACATTTCTATCAAGGTCCTCGAAGTAGAAAGTCGTTACTATCTAGCAGCTTTGAAAGTCAGTGGGTGATTTTTTCTCTTCTCTAAAACATGACTTTCTTTTTTTCAGACAGTTTATCAGTAATCACTCTTGTAGGGCTACATGAAGAGATTTCCCAGCATTTTTTGAACACTGACCAGTTGCAAATGTGATATTTATTTAAAACAATTCTATAATAAGAAGTTAGTATTGTGGTATATGTTAGACACAATATTGTCTGATTTTGCTAAATTGTGTACGCGAACATATTACCTATAAAGCCACAGAAGAACTGTTGTGCGTCTCCTAATAAAACACAATAGGTGTTGGACTTGAAGCAACACTGCACAGACCGTTCTGTGTGTGACATCAAAGTACAGCTAGAACGATAAGACGGCATTTTTTTTTAAAATTTGTTTTGATGTCAAATAAGTCTTCCTGTTTGGATTTTTTGTTAAAGCAGTGTTGCTGTTGTAAAGTTATACAGCTACAGTTGTGTTGCTGGGTTTTAAAGCAGGGTTGATTTTGTTTCTTCCTTATCAGTCTGTATTTACAGGATTTCACTGTCCACTCTGTTCAAATGTGGATGGCTACACATAGATGTGTGCACACTGTCAGAGCTGTGTGAGAGCAATACCATACAGCTTTTGTGGGGGTGGGTAGGGGTGTTAAATATTTTTTTTCCCCCATAGGTTTTTAACATTCTAAAAGCTCTTTATTCCAAATATACTACAAGCTAGTCAGTGTATTCAGTAGGTGTCATGTATTCTAAGTTGCTTCCGAAGTATTGCAAGTACTACGTACATCAATAAAACAGTGCATTGACATTAAAAAGGAAATTTACTTTTGATACTTAAGTACTTTTAAAAGCAAGTACTTCTGTACTTTTACTTAAGTAAAAATCTGTCTTTACAACTTTTACTTGTAATGGAGTAATATTTGACCAGTAGTATCTGTACTTTCACTCAAGTAATGGAATTGAGTACTTTGTCCGCCTCTGTCTAGGACTAAAATATACTCCTTTTTGACAGGTGAAATGTTATTAACTTCAGTGGCAAGTTACTAATGAACTGGTAGGGTGTTAATTATGACAGGGTGATGATGCTATCATGTTCCGGTAAGGCGTGTGGTGTCACTTGTAATTTGAAGAGCCATGAATTTCTGTGTCTTGTTCTCACTATGAGGTCCTTGTTAGACTCAGGAATTAATGATGCGAAGTGACTCAAATGTTAATAGGTCTGCTAAGTCATTATTTCACACCATCTTCCGTCTCTGGTGATTTAGTTGACTGCATTGCATATACAGAGAATGAGAGATCCTGACTATCTGATCAAATTTGATACTCGTGTGTGTGGATGATATCAAATATGTTTGCAGCTATACGTGACATTAGTCTAAATCTCACACATGAACCAAGACTTCGAGATCTCAGAGGGCAATTACTCAGACTTGTCCGTCTCAATGGGTGGCCATTAACATTTACAAAGGAGAGGTGGGCATGTCAGCTCTATGGGCATCATGCTGGGCATGTAAATGAGGCCCGTCTCATCCTTGGTTTAATATGTGTGAAGTAAATAAGACTTATGTTTTTTTTTTTTTAGTCTATCTATCTATCTATCTATCTATCTATCTATCTATCTATCTATCTATCTATCTATCTCTATCTATCTATCTATCTATCATTGTGCTTTCTTTTTAAATATTTTTTGTTATTAATATTTAAATTCTGACCTGCACTTTAAGCAACATTCTATACATGAAAAGTGCTGCTGAATTAAATTGAGCTAAATAAATAAACAAACAAATGTTGCTGTTACTGTTCTATCTTTATTTATTAAATAAAATTGTTGTTATATTCTGACCTGCACTTTGAGCTACATTCATAGCCTATGTGAAAGGTGCAAACCCTTTTTATATATATAAATATAGAAATATTAAACAAAATGGAGTATGTAATGTATAGTTTTGTTAAATAATAATATTTAATATTTTATTACGTTAATAATTTATGATTTCAGTTTTTTTTTTTCATTTGTATTTGAAATTGTTTTTATTTAATAGCATTTTAGCATAAAGGCTGCAACATAACAAAATGTGAAAAATATAAAAAAAATATAACAGTTTCATATAAAAGAATTTTCACTAAATGGCAGGCTCACGATGGTTTGATATAACTTGATTACAAATACATTGCACTTACATAGTCACATAATTATTTTATTTATCATGTGTCTAAAAACTATCAGTGTACACACTCATACAAATATTCCCTAAACAAAGGCGCCCACATGGATGTCTTCTTTACTGCTGTTGATCCACAACTGGGTCAAACGCTTTCATTTCTCAGCACGTTCAGTGAAGACACCATAGACAAAAATCATAACTTGACCTGTATTTTGAAGGGATATCCGCTGTTATCAGTCTGCGCATGCGCGCGCCACAAAACAGGAAGTATCTTTTCCAAACTGACAACAGTCCAACACAGTACCAGTCACGGCCGCTTGATTCTGTCCACATATTTATTTTACTGTAAATGTAAACATATATGTGACAGTGATGTCTCGAAAGACCAAAAAAGAGGAATATTACCGCTTTTTCACTGTGACAGATCCACGCACACACGAGAAAGGACACACGGAATATAAAGTAACAGCAAGGGTTAGTAGCATCAAATCTCCATATCACAGAGAGGAATTACTGTAGATACAGTGTAGTTATTTACAGTCGACCTCAGATTTCTGACTCTTGTGTTGATTCCAGTTATTTTATTTATTAATATTCTAAATAACCAAGATATTTCTCATTTACTCGTCAACTGCTTTGTACACTTTGATAAACTGTGCTTCATAACTACAGAAACAATATATCAAGATAACTGATCCTCATAGAGAGTGTTAATAGCTACTAGTACAAGGCATTGTTAATCTGGTTTGCTTTGAAACTCGTGATTTAAAGAGTCTGGAATGAGGTCACGTGACTCCAGTCCCCCCCTTCCTCATTCATGCTTCTAATAATCAGCCCTTTCAAATCCTCTCCCTTTGGTGTAATGTGGTTTCACTTATCTGTGTCTTTCTCCACAGTTTGTATCAAAGACGCAGCCGGCGAATGTTAAAGAGGTATGATTATCCTTGTGTTTTTGCATTTGTGCATGTTGCATTGGGCTCATTGCTGGTTTGATTGGCAGGTTGTGGTGTGGAAGAGGTACTCAGAGCTGAAGAAATTACATGGAGAGCTGGCGTACACTCATAGGAACCTGTTCAGACGACAAGAGGAGTTTCCCCCTTTTCCACGAGCTCAGGTTTTTGGTAAGGTCAATGGAATTGCTGAGACATGATGCAAACAAAAGATTTATGACCTGGTTCACCTTCTTTAAAAAATAAAAAAAATTTCAGTTGCATTTTTTATGACTTCACTTTTTATGACTGTAAGTCTGTTTCTTTGTATTTGTCTAACATCTCCCACTGCTGTCTCTATTCTCTGTTTTGTCATTTATTTCTCTGTGTCTCACTCTCACAGGGCGTTTTGACGAGGCTGTGATTGAAGAGAGGAGGAAAGCAACTGAGGCCATGCTGCTCTTCACTACAAATATTCCTGCTCTGTACAACAGCCCTCAACTCAAAGAATTCTTCAGGGTAAGACATATGCAGACCTTATGAGAAATGCATTTATATAATTTATTCTGTTTTATTTTTTACCTATAAAATCTGACATTTAAAAGTTTGGGGTTAGCATGATTTTTTTTTTTTTTTTTTTTTTTTTTTTTATATTTTTTTTTTTTTTTTCTTTAAGGAAATTAATACTTTTATTCAGCAAGGATGCATTAAACTGATCAAAAGTGACAGTAAAGTATCATAAACCGAAGATCACGGGTTCATACCCCATCCGTGCCTCCTCCAAAAAAAAAGTGACAGTAAAGACTTTTACATTGTTACAGAAAATTCTGTTTTATTACTGGTTAGTTTATTCTATTCCGCATAAGAATCCTGAAAAGAAACGTATCACAGTTTTCACAAAAGTATTAAGCAGCACAACTGTTTTTCAACACTGATAATAATAAAGGTAAATGTTTAAACTGTGAAACTGTGGTAGATTAAACTAACCAGTATTTATGTGAAATTGAATTTTCTGTAAAAGTCTTAACTGTCACTTTTCATCAATTCAGCATATTAGAATGATTTCTGAAGGATCATGTGACACTAAAGACTGGAGTAGTGGCTGCTGAAAATTCAATAAATTCAAATATTTGAAATTAAAATAATATTTCACATTTTTTTTCTTCTGGCTTTTTATATCAAATAAATGCATTGATAAAATATTGTATTATATATATATAATCTGTAATGTTTATATATATATCACCCTTTTCAGAGTGCATCGAAGATCAAAAAAGCACTCTAAAACTACCATAAGTTGTCCATACATATACAACCTGTGTGTTATGTTTGTCTGATTTTGTGTCTTGTTGACTTCCCATTGTCCTGATGCCTGTCATACAGGTTTAGAACAACATGAGGGTGAGTAAATGACAGGATGTTTATTTTTGGTAATCCCTTTTGTCTTTTTTCTCCTGTCTCAGGGAGGAGAAGTGAGAAGACCAATGGAGACAGCTGCCATTTCTACATCTCTTCCGCCGCCTCTTATTCCCCTACCTGAGAGGAACGCTGAGCTGTTGGCTGAAGAGGAGACAGGGAGAGAGGCTCCTATCC